ATTTTTATTAGGCCTGAATCAAATTGGCAGGGGTTGACGTATGTTGGGAGATAAGTTAGGAGTAGATTCGTTTGTGAAATATTTTTTCGAAGATTTTGAAGAGAGGTGAAGTTGGAAATTGGGACTATAGTTTTTCAACTCTGTTTGGTTCTCCTCCTTTGTGGTTCGGCGGTGACCCTTGCTATTTTGAGAACTAGTAGGGAAGTTTGGAGGATTCTAGGATTTGTTAAAGTGTGTTGCAATGATTGGTGATTGCACTTTTGGACAGTTTTTTGTATATAAAGGGTGGTAAGGTATTTAAATCTCTGCCTTGTTTTTTTGGGCTTTGATAATAAGGGAGACTTCGTAGGGTTGTCGGAGCTATGGAACAGTATCTGTGTTCGGTAGTTGCCGGTTGAGGTAGTCATTTGGTGGGGGTATTGAGCTTGGATTTTATTGGCATGGTTTTGTCCTATAGTGGGGAGAATGCATTGAGTCTGTTTGCTGTTCTGTTGGTGGGAGTTGGGTTCATCTGATTTTGCTAATTTTTATTTCGTATTTCGTGCGATGTCTTTTTTGTTCCCAGAATTTTCTGATTGGGTTTTTTCCAGGTCTTTTTTTATATCACCTCGTAAGCTTGGATAATCTGTTCTCTTAATACAATTTTTTTGACCTTCTTATCAGGCTCGGTTAGGATAGACGAGATAACGTTTTGTTTGGTCTCTGGTTAAGTTGTGACCAATTCTGTACTGTTTTTCTTATTGGCTGGTTTGTATTTATGGATTTGAGAATGCTGGGTGTTAGCCACGGGGACTGTTCAGTCTCTTAGCTGTCAATCTGTTTAGTTTATTAGGGCCGTCTGTTGTTATAGAGGTATTGGGTCTTTTTTAGAAACATATTAATACATTCATCAATAACTGTATAGATTCTAGTCAGTGTGCAATCAATGTTTTGCTATGCTGTGTGAAGTTATGAAGGCTGTCCTCTTTGTGAAAGACTCTGAAGTTGACTTTAGTAGTGTCTTTGGGTTGTTTACCATGAGTTGTTATGAGGAAAGGAGGGTAGTGGTCTGTGGTAATTATCTGTAATTATGCCTGATTTTTAAAGGGATATGCGTTGTTGGGTCCGATGTGGTCAAGTAGGGGAAACAATAGTCTCTCGTAACTCTTGTAGGTTTTGTTACTGTTGGTAGTAAATACAGGTTACTCATTGTGTGTACTGTGGCGGAATTCAGAATGTGGTGGGTCTGGTCTTGAGGAGATATTATGAAGTCCTGAGAGTAGTAAGTGATCTTTGTTTCATGCGCGTGCATCAGTTATCATACTTCCTAGGTTTTGACTAAATTGGATCAATGTTTTGATGTGGAACTCTGTAGATGTTTTTCAAGTGGAGAGGTTTTTTGTAGGTATTTGGATTTGGAATTTAGCTATTATATATTCCCCATGTTCATCCTTGTGCAAATATTGGGTGAAACATTCTGTGGTCTGAGCAGTATATGGCTGTGCCACCCCTTGTTGGTCTGGATCTGTGTGTATGGTGTGTAACCAGGAATGGCAATAGACATTCTGTACTATCAGGCTTTAGCAAGGTGTTTCAGTTAGTGTTTTGATGGACATATTGGAATGTAAGGAATTTTGTAATGCTATGAGGTTATCGTTTAATGCTTGCCGTAAAGATCTGATATTGTAGTTTAAGATAGTTATGTTGCTTGTTGCACTGAGATGTGCCTTGGATTGTTCTGCAGGGTAGTAATTACAGTATAATAAATGTTTATTCATTTAAGTCATTAAATAAGAGTTTGGTTTCAGGATCCATGCTTGTAATCATATGATTTTGTAGTGAATCTTAGTAGTATTAAGTATAAAACAAGTAAATAGTCTAAGATAAAAATAGCACCGGAATTATTTAACAAAATGTAAAATTATGAGCTAGTAGTTTTTTTTTTTTTTTTTTTTTTTTTAAGCTAAATATAGGAGACAATTTAAAGGACTATACAAATAATAGTGATGATCAATTAATGGAGCTTTGGGATATGATAGTAGGAAGTACTATAAAGGTAATCTTTTTAAAGTTAGATTATATTATAAAGTATAATATAAAAGGGACTAATATAGGTTGTGAGTGAACAATAAGTGGTAATCAAATAAATGAGCCTTTGGAAATATTAATGGCAAATTGTTGAAACTGATTCTACTTTAGAGCACCTGAGAATAGAACCTTGATTATTTTAAACAATTGTTGAATATGCTAAACCTAGGGTAGTTCATATAAAGCTAAAATAAAGGAGAAAAAGAAAATATATAAGGGACTAAAATTTAAGTAATGGTAACAAAGTTAAATGGACAGGATGGTAGGATATTTTTAATATAAACTTATATATAAAAATACAATTGAAATGTACTTCAATTGCACTAGAGTCTGGTATAGGTTGTTGACAAGATCAAGATTATAACTAGATTTAAATTGACAAAATAAAATTCACAATTAAAGTACCAAAAGGAATAATAGCAAAAAAATAACAATGGTTAATGTCTTGGTTAAATATTGATAGTAGATGTAGACAGGTACCAGGTACACAGGTACTCCAGTAAAAAGGATAATAAAAGGTTGGGTTTTGAATATACAAACTTGAAAATTTGGCAACAAAATGTTATGAAGTATAAGATATGTTTAAAATGTACAAAAGTAAATTGAATGGTAGTAAATATGGTGTTTAATATAATTTTAGTAAGTAATAAGATTACAAAAAGGGGGAAAAAAGTAATGTTTATTTCCTTCAATATTGCACTGGTAGTTATACTAGAGGTTATATGGGGCAGTACAAGGTAATTAAGATTACTTAAGATAGTAAATGTGGTATTTAAATACAGGTAAGGTAATTAGACATGTAATGGTTATAATGTCAAAAATGGTTAAGAGTAAAATTGAAATTTTAGTAAAATGATAATTATTGATTTTAGTAAGTAATAATCAATTGATAGTATTTAAAATAAATATGAGGTAGGTAGTAATATGGACAGAGAAAGTATCATTCAGCTAATGTTTAAGCGTACAATAGTAAATAACAAAATCAATAGGTGACTTATGCATACTAGTAAAATCTCAAAATGAGGTAGTTGATTATTTAATTACTAGTAGATTGTCTCAATGAAATTTGAACAATAATGGAGCAAAACATACACTTACACTATGTGCAGGCTTTTAAGTTTGGACATTGCTTAGTATTCTATGTAAGTTTGTATCCATGAGAAATCGTGATAGATCATCTCGTCGGATTGTGTACAGTTGACCGACATTGTTTTCCTAACAAGAAGATTTTCCCATCCGTGTGAGCATTGGTGTATTGTGTCGTTATTCTCCCGCTTAAGTTTTCTGACTCTATCGGAGTTTGACGTTTTTTTGTAAGAACAATATTTATGTATACCTCCTTTCTTTACTTTATTAGATGCAATAATTAAGTCTTTTTTCATGCATGTGAGTGGGAATCTAATGCTTAACACTTTTTCTACCATGGATCCTAGTAACCTGGCTTCTTTTATTTCAGGACTCAAGGTAAAAATTACACTTGTTTGGTCTTTTATGATTGCAGGAGTAATTTCTTTACTGTTGTTTGGTTCTTATCACTGGGGAAAATGTGGAACTGTTAACTATTACTGTGTCCGATAGTTTATTTGGTTCAGTTTTATCTTCTTGGAGAGCAAAGTAGCACTGATGGTTATCTAAGTTGTTCTTCCATTCTTTTTTACTGCTTCTTATCTTTGTTTTAGAGATATTTATTTGTTGGGTTATGCTATCTATGACTTGTTTGGATGGTCTTGTCACAGTTAGTATTCCTGGTGTTGTTAACTTTTGTTAAGACTGTGGTTTTTGTTCTCGAGTTGTGTCATCTGGTGTCTTGTTTTGTTAGCGTCTCTCGAAGATTCTATTTTAATAGCTAAGTTGGAGATTGCATGTCTTTAGGGTATCTGATCATTGGTAATACCTGAAAGACTACTTGGAAGGTGAATCCGGGTAAGAAGGGGGAGGATTGGCGCTGGTGGCAGCCATGTTTGTTGTTATTGTTGTGGTGTGGCTTTGAGTTGGGTGGTGAGTGGGGTGGTTGTGAGCGGCGTTCCTCCTGGCTACACTTGTTGAATAGTTTGATTTTTCGGGTGTTTTCTTGTGGACTTGGTGCTGTTTCCACTTAGAGGATTGCGCCTCATAAATACTACAGGAATTGTTTGTAGTTATGAAAAAAAGTTGTAGTAACAAAGCTTAGGGTTACGTTGTTGGCTGGCAACGGGAGTGTTGCTTTCGGGTTTGTGTGCAGTCTTCGTTTGATCTCTATTATTTTCGATTTGTCAGGTTTCACTGTTGGTAATATTCTGGTCATTCTGGGGTGCTACGTTGGGTAGTGCAGTTTTGCTTGTACTATGGTCCATCATAGGAAGGCATTGGTTTAGCTCTTGGTTGTTGGAGGGGGAAAAAAAAGTTTAACAGAGCTTGGAAAGTCGCTGCTGCCGCTGCCGAAGCTGCACTTATTGCCACTTATGTCGAGAGAGTGTGTGCGAGTTAATGAATTGAGTGATGACTGAGTGATGTTCCTACTAATCAGTTAATGTCTCACCACTAATAAGTAAAGTGCCATCATATTATGTATCTTTTTTCATAAACAGAAAAATATGTCTTACCCCCATGTCATTAACTAACTACAAACTATAACTGCTACTTTTAAACGTACGTAAGAGATTGATCAGGAATGTATGTTGTATCTCAAAAATCCAAACATTTGGCTTAACACTTAATTTTCGGGTAGAAAAGATCTGCGTTGTAATCGACAGTGTATTTGTTTAACTAATAGTTGGGTAAGCTAGTATCCTCTTCACATTGCTAGCTAAACCTCTGTCTGTATATACGTATTACTAAATGTAAAAGGAGAAACTTTTGTTTTTCCTTTTGGGCCACCCTGCCTCAGTGGGATACGGTCGTTTGTGTTGAAAGAAGGGTGATGGGTAAGTGTTAATTTGTATATATGTCTACAGGACTACCTGGGTTCTGATGAAACTGTGGACAGGAAGCAACTTATCAGCAAGAAAGCAGACTGGGCGCGCAACATCAATGAACCACGAGCAGCTGCTGAGATGTATCTCTCTGCTGGAGAAATACACAAAGCCATTGAGATCATGGGTGAAAATGGTTGGGAAGATATGTAAGTTAACAGCACTATAAGAATACATACCTAGTTACTAATGACTGGGAAGATATGTAAGTTAACAGCAATGAAAAGTGGACAGGTCAGGAAAATTTAGAGTGTGGATTGGCAAAAGGAATCAAGAGGAGCAAGTAAAGTCAGTGCCAGCACAAGGAATAGATGAGCTGGCACCAAAACCAAGAACTTCATGTTGGGAGACTGATGGAAGACAACACTGGGGGAACATTTGGACCAAGGGTTGCCATATGTATAAGGTGATGAAGTTTGTTTTATAGTTTAGTAGCAGGAATTTGTGAATTAACATGAGCAGTGTTGAAAGCAATATCAGTGAGAAGGAGCTTTGTGACACCACAGATTGTGGGGTTCTACCCCACCCTGTGGTTTGTGTTTGTTCCAATCGTGTCATTACGATTTCATGAGTCATATAAAAACTCTGCTTATAAACACATTAGTAGTGTACTACAGTAGGCTTACTGGCCTATACTAGGCAGGTTTAATTCATTCACAATCACTTCCACTCATGCACTTGTCCAAATTATTTTAGATCTATGCAAAGTTTTGCAGTGGTTGTAGATTTACGTAATCTGCTGAGGCTGAAAAATATAACCGAGATCTTATGGCTGGAATTTAACAAAATCTCATTATTTTTGATACAGGAGGGCCTTGTGTATTCCACACCCTCTTTTCAGTGTTCCATGTTTTCGTTGGCTTTCAAATGAGCCATTGTTCATAATGTTCAGTGCTTTTACCACTTTTCTGCATTTTGCACAAAACAGTTGTGTAAGGGAAGGGTGACTGCCACCATATTTTAAGGTAAGTATTGTATGTACTGTGTATTTATTTTCCTTTCTTATTTGTTTTTTTTTATGCCTAGCTGTATTTAGCACTTAATATTTGATAGTGTAAACATGTTATCAGGTGTTTTAGATGCATTCAATGATGAAGTGGGGCCCTCCTGTAAAGTATACCCATGTGTCTTATGGCTGTAATATTTAATAATTTCTACTTATCACTTCATAAATTGTCTGTTGCTCACACTCCAACACATGTCAAGTCACAAAAATTGCTTGCCTCCACACACTGATCTAACAAGTTCACTGTTGAATTTCCAAACCACCAGTACTCAGTACTTCTTTATCTCCTCCTTCATCTCTTCCTGGGATAACCAATATCCCTCATTCCCTCCACCACTGATTTATATACCCTCCTAGTCATCCTATTTTGCTCTGTCTGCTGTATGATTCAACCCTTCTTCTTTCACAGACTCATAAGAAAAAAAGCATCCCAGGAGTGAGCAAACATATTTGTAATGACTCATTCCCTAACTGTTTTCCCAGAAATGCAAGGACATCACAGGCCAGTTATTGAATAGGTGATGGGTACTATGTAGCTCAGGGGTAGCATTGCCTCTCTACTGGAAGGTGCTAGTTAAGTGATGAACACTAATTCTCTCCATTTAATTATTTATAAGCCATATAGAATGTATAATGGGATATTCATTTATCTTGTATTCATTGTAAACTCCTATACTTAAAACTTACTGTTATTGCCCTCTTCATCTCAAGTTAGTCTTAAGTTTAATCGAAAAGCATACATATTCAGAGCTTTCGGCAAGATACACCTAATGCATTCATTCTTTTTGTACAACCACTGTATCATGTTGAAATAAAATTATTTATTATTATTATTATTATTATTATTATTATAATTATTATTATTATTTTTTTTTCACAAGTGGCCGTCCATCTCCCACCGAGGCAGGGTGACCCAAAAGGAGAAAATCCCCAAAAAAGAATATGCTTTCATCATCATTCAACACTTTCACACACATCACACATAATCACTGTTTTTGGCCAGAGGTGCTCAGAATACAACAGTTTAGACAGCTTATACGTATAAAGATACACAAAATTTCTCAAAACTGCCAAAATTCCCAAACCTCTTTAAAGTGCAGGCATCTGTACTTCCCATTTCAGGATCAAGTCCTCCCGACTATATGGAAAATAACCGGTATTCCCTGCAATCCTTCACTTACAATATTACCCTGCTCACACGCCATCAGATCGTCTAGGTCTCAAGTACATTCGGCTCATTCACTCCTTCTGACTCACTTCAACACGCTTGCTGGTATGTCCACAGCCTTGCCCACAAAATACCTCACTATACCCCTCTCTCCAAACCCTTTCGAGGGCGACCCTACCTAGCCCTCCTTCCCTATAGATTTACTATGCTTTCCATGTCATTCTACTTTGATCCATTCTCTCTAAATGACACAAACCACCTCAACAACCCCTCTTCTGCCCTCTGGATAATACTTTTATTAACTCCACACCTTTTCCTAATTTTCCACATACGAATTTCTGCATAATATTACACCACACTTTGCCCTTAGACAGGACATCTCCACTGCCTCCCAACCATCTCCTCGCTGCTTGCATTACCACAAGCTTCACACCCATATAAGAGTGTGGTACTACTATACTTTCATACATTCCCTTCTTTGCCTCCATAGATAAGTTTTTTTTTTGACTCAACATATACCTCAATGCACCACTCACCTTTTTTCCTCATCAATTCTATGATAACCTCATCTTCATAAATCCATCGCCGGACAGTCAACTCCCAAGTATCTGAAACATTTACTTCTACCAACCTCCTCCTCCCCAATTTGATATCCAATTTTCTTTATCTAACATTTGATATACCTCATCACTTACTTTTTTCTATGTTCACTTTCAACTTTCTACCTTCACTCACTTCCTAAACTCATCCACTACCTTTTGCAGATTTTTCTTTAGGATTCTCCCATAAGCTCAGTATCTCAGCATAAAGTAACTGTGTTGTTAATTCTCATTTTTGAATTGATTCCCCATAATTTAACCCACCTCTCCCGACACCCCTAGCATTTACTCTTTTAACAACCCCATCTATAAATAATTAAACAACCATGGTGACATTACACATCCCTGTCTAAGACCTATTTTACCGGGAAGAATAGTCTCCTCTCTTCTTCACACCCTAACCTGAGCCTCACTTCTCATAAAATCTCTTACAGATTTAGTAACTTACCACCTATTCCATAATACTTGCAACATCTTGCACATTGTCCCCTATCATCAACTACTATGCTCTTTTTAACCTCCCATAAATGCAATAAAAACTTCCTACCCTTAACTAAATTACTGTTCAATATATGCTTCAATGTAAACGCTTGATCTACACTCCCCTACCACTCTGTAACCTCCTTTGCCTCATCTGCAATTCCTACATTCGTCTTACCTTCTTTCTTTCATTATAACCCACCATAAACTTTTCCTGGTATACTCAATAAACTTATTACTCTATATTTTTACAATCTCTTTTGTCCCTTTCCCTTTATATAAGGGATATACATGCTCTCCGCCAATCCTTAGGTACTTCCCTTTTCATACATTTATTACAACAAATTACCAAACCACTCCAACACTATATCCTCCCTGCTTTTAACTTATTTATGTAACATGATCCCATCAGTCCAGCTGCTTTACCCCTTTCCTTCTTCGTAATGCCTCACGTACCTTCCCCCCACTTACATTCTGTCTTCTTCACTCCTAAAGATGGTATCCCTCCTCTGACAGTGAATTGGAAATTACGGCCTCCCTTTCTTCCTCAAACATTTTTAAAAGTTCTCAAATATTCTCGCCATCTACCTACCTAATACCTCCTTCTCCATCTACTAACTCCCTACTCTTTTTTTAACTGACCAAATCCATACTTTTCCCTAGGTTTCTTACTTGTTTTTATCTCCAATTTTTTTTATTTTCATTTAAATTTCTTGACAGTGCCTCTCCCACTCTATCATCTGCTCTCCTTTTGCACTCTCTCACCACTCTCTTCACCTTTCTTTTACTGTCCATGTACTCTGCTTTTTATTATTATTATTATTATTATTGGGAGCAAGGGGCTAGTAACCACTTCTCCTTTATATATTACTAAATGTGAAAGGAGAAGCTTTTGTTTTTCTTTTTGGGCCACCCCGACTCTGTGGGATACGGCCAGTTTGTTGAAGAAAGAAAGATTATTATATTATTATTATTATTAGATATTATTATTATTTATTATTATTATGTAGCTCAGAGGTAGTGTTCCTCTCACTTCTGGAAGGTGTTAGTTAACTGTTGTGGGTTGCATATTAGGTAAAAAGATGTAAAGACTAACAGAGAATAAGCTCAGAGGTTATACTTCTTGGTTTATCCTTGGTTATTAATCACTCGCCAGAGAACCTAATTATTTAAATAACACTTCTTCATGAGTAATGTGTTTCCATCTGTGGGTAACATAACATAAGGGAGTAATTGTTAAGGTGTGGGAAATTAAAATTATTCTCGTGTAATGTATTATGTAGTTTATCTTGACAAAGATACAGATGCTATACATTTAATAATAACTAATAATAATAATATAATGATAACTGTGTGTAAATGATTCATGGGGGTCCTTGATGAACTTTGTCTTCAAAGGGGGTTTGGCTATAGGTTATAACTGGAACCTCAGATTTTGTATGCATCGATATCACACATTTCGGATTTAGGACCACTTTTTTGGATTATTTTGGTTTGATTTTCTTCCTCCACCGGAAAATCATAGGGTATCAGATGTTCCCTGCCCGGGTCGCCACCACTCATGCGGACATGTTCAGTCTGCTTGTGATGGTCAATGAGTTTATTTCATGTGTTCATTTGAAAAAACATTTTTAATAAACCATTGTTTTTTGTGCTTAAATATTGAGTGCGACTACGAAATAAGCCACCATGGACATCAAAAGAAGTTCCTAGTGCAAGCCCTTTTGTTAAAGTAGGGTGTGAAACATGATAGAATTCAAGAACGGACATTGTAGAAAAATACAAAAGTGACATACGTATACCCGAGCTTGCCAGGATGTATGGGAAGTCGAAATCAACAATTTGTTTCATCCTGGCAAATAAAGTAGAAATCAAGGACGCTACAGTTTTAGTAAAATATGCTATGACAACAGAGATCACAACGAAAATGTGGAGAAGTTGTTGTTGGTGTGGGGGGAAATTTCGATGAAAAAACAGTTTGCGGAAGATAGTGTTGTGGAGTCGATCATCTGCTAAAAGGCCAGGCAGTTGCATGCGGATCTCGTTAAGAGAATGCCTGGAACGAGATGCTGGCTGTTAGTGAATTTAAGGTCAGCAGGAGGCTGGTTCAACAGATTCAAGTAGGTAATCAGTGGGCTACACAGTGTTCTAAGGATTTATGAGGTTGCCAAGTACAGCC